TGACTAATGATGAGAATAGTCTGTTTCCTCAGCTCACTAGGTTTAAACAGAACAGGTTTAGCAGCGCAAGATGAGGATTTCATGACCTACAAGGAAGAAGAAGCAGAGAATGTAGAACTGTATGATTTCAAATCAGCAAAGGTATGCATCAGGGTTGTGTCTTTTGCCCACACTTATTCAATCTGTCTATTGAGGAAATGATGCGAGGGCACTTGCCGCTGCAACAAAGAACCAGAGACCTACGTGAAACTGAGCTAACTTGGGCTTGCTAGTCCATGGAGCCAGAATCAGGAGCCTTTGCCAACCAAGCTTGCTGGAGGATTAGAAGAATGAAGAGGATGCCGTCATTGTCAGGACTAAAAGAGTTTCAGAATATTGGTCTAAAGCTGCTAGGCTGAAGATGAAGGGCCTGTGAGGAAGCTTGGGAAGCTGTCCTGACTAAGGAAATATATCCTGTTGTCAATCTGCATTCTAAACTGTTAACTTTGCTAATAAACTCCTTTACCTTTGGGTAGTACTGTGAGATTTCTGTGGACATCACAATAGATTTTGGACCCAGTTAATGGAGCTGTCAGAGTCTTGAGAGAGATGACTGGTGTTAAAATTAGTAGAAGTAGATGATTCTTTGTATCAAAACAAATTACAGATAATTTGAGGAAAATGGAAATCTCCGAACACTTAATTGTACTTATGCGAAAGCAATATATAGACAAAGAAGGAGTTGTCAAAATATCAAGACGCTATTGCATGCTTTAAAATAAGGAAAGGTGTGCATCAAAGTTGTATTCTTTATCTATACCCATTCAATCTATATGTTGAGCAGATTAATTTGAGAAGCTGAAGTATATAAAGAAGAAGGTGGCATCAGGATTGAAGAAGACTCGTTAACAGCTTGCATTATGCAAATAAAACAATCTTTTTTTCAGAAAGTTAAGATGACTTAAAACACGCCAGAAGATCAAAGAACACAGCCCTTAATATGGGCTACATTTCAAGGTCAAGAAAACAAAAATCTTCACCTCTGAACCAATAGATAACCTCATGACAGATGGAGAAAAGACTGAAGTTGTCAAAGATTTCCTTTTACTTGGATCCACAAACCACACCCATGCTAGCAACAGTCAAGATATCAAAAGACGTGCTACTTTGGGGAAATTTGCTGTTGAGGACCTCTTTAAAATACCAATGAGCAAGGGTTTCAGTTTAAAGAGATTATTTTTTTTAATTTTTTTAATATTTATTTTATTTTATTATTTTTGTGTGTGTGTACCATCAAATCAGATCTGACTGGTACAGGAGGAGATTGTCCCTCCTTCCCCGGCAGAGCATCTGGTGGATTCGCACCGTGCACCTCTGGGATTGTAGTTGCAGCTCCTTGCCACTAGGCCACCAGAGCTCCCCAAGAGATGATATTTTCAATTGCTTCCTATGTGTCTGGAACCTTGACAATGAACAAACAAAACCAAAAAGAAATCAACACCTTTGAAATGTAGTTTTGGAGAAGAGTATTCAATATCGTATACAGCCCAAAAGAACAATCAAGTCTTCCTTGCAGCAAGTGCAACCAGAATGTTCCTTAGACGCAAGATGAAGTTGAAATTTCATCTCACATGCTTTGGACATGTTATCAGGAGAGCCTAGTCATTCGAAAAAGATATCATATTGGAAAAGGTAGAGAATTAGCAATAGAGAAGAAGATATTCAGCAAATGGGTTGACACAGGGACTACAACAATGAACGTAACAGCAACAGTGAGAATGGAGCAGACAAGGTTCAAGGTTTAAAGCTGTTGTTCTTAGGGTCATAATGAGTCATAGTTTACTCAAAGGTACCTAACAACAAAACAAGTGCAGGACCATTGAAGTCATGTCTGACCACAATGGAATGATTTTTTTGTATGTTATTGAAGGATATTATTGTATTGTTATGGATGTATTGTTATGGATGTTATTGAAGGGGATAGTTCCTTCTTGTGGACTTAAGAAAGGTCAGAAGAGGCCATACTGACGCTGTCCCTACTCTTTCTACAGCCATCGAGAAAGGCTTTAAAAAGGTCAGCCTAACTTATTCAATTGAGACTAGTGGAGTCCCCAAGACTTACTTATCTTTCAAATCCAGAGCAAAATGCATTGCCATGGCTTAACTTTTAAGAGAATAAAATATAGATGTATACAGAGCCCAATAACACCAAGAAGACACTCAATCTTTAGAATAACCAACCACATATGGTCAAAAAAAATCCAACAATCACCCAAGAATAAATCCCTGAAGTCAGGAGGAGGTAGACTAGAAGGATTAATGGAAATGAGAATTACAAGGAGGATGTGAGGAAAGTGCAATTACATTATAGGTAATTGTAATTAATGGCATTAAACAAAATGGATACAAAAAAACCAACTTGCTATGTAAATTTGCACTCACATCACATTATATACATAATAATTTTTAAAAATAAATATAATCCCATTTCAAATAAAAATATACAAGCAAAGAAAAAGAAATTAACAGTAAGTCAGGTGACTGGGTTCCTCTCTCACCCATTCTTTTTTCTATTCCTTTCTCGATTTTGTGTTTGCTTTTTTTTTAAAGATGTCTTCACTTTTTTCTTTTTTATTATTATTATTAATTTTAATGAAAATTTACAGAGACTTTGGATTTCCATTGTTGTACTTTTCTCCCTGCACACCTCTTCCCTCCAGTTCATTTTTCTCTTTGAAAAGTAAAAGAAAAATTTATTTCATTGTTATACAATCCCTCCCAAGTCCAGTCCACTATGCAGCCTTTGATCTAGACTCCTGTCATGACAATAATACCCAATCATATAATCCTTTTTAAAAAGATAAACATTCATTCTCTTTGCAAGAACTTGAACAAATTAACTATGTCTCAATAAAAAGAAATTCAACTGTCCTAACTCCCCAGTATTTAAAATTTTGCTTTGCCTCTTAAAGGTAATAAAGTATGGATAGAGCCAAAAATGTGTTCAGACTAGCTCAATAAAGATGTTCCTCCTTGCTCAATAAAATGTTACCCAACACTATGTTCTCAATTTATGAGGCAGTCCATATAAAATTGTTCCTTGAAATTGTAACAAGAAGGCACTCTGGTGGTGTAGCCAAGTGTTGCGTTATCCAAAAGTGTCACTTCTCTGATAGTTTGAATCCTCTAGCTAGCTACTAACCAGATGGGTCTTTTCCTACTTTGCCATTTAAACTCCCTGGAGAGTCAGTCATGAGGGAGAATAAACTCCTTGGCAATGAGAGAGAATTCTAATGGGCTATTTTGAGATTCACATGTGTGTTTCTTCTGCCTGGCCACAGTGACAGTAGGACCCCATCTTCTACCTTTAAATTATTCCTGTCTTCTTCTCACTCTTCCTGTTCCTCCAGTGTCCTGTTAGTTGTTGTTAGGTGCTGTCAAGTACAACTCCTAGTGACCCTATGACCAACCAATCTGAACACTGTCCTATTCTGTGTCATCCTATAATCTTTGACATACTCAAGCCCATTGTCACAGTCACCATTTCAATCTACTAGGTGGAAAGTCTTCCTCTCCTTCCCACCCCTCCACATTTCCTAGCATGATATCCGTCTCCAAAAAATAAACAACCTCTTCTAGCATCATGCCCAGATGAAGCTTCGTCATCTTTACCTCCAAGAGGCATTCTGGCTGCACCTTCTTCAAGGCATATTTGTTTGTTGGCAGTCCAGAGTCCACATAATAATTTGTACTTTAGGTCTTCACCAGTCAGAAGGTAGCATACAAAAGTTACATAAAGCAAGCTATATTCATATTTCCAAGGTCATTGTTCAAAAAGTTCTCACTGTAACTGACAAATACAGTCAGGTCGCCAATATCTGCAGTCCTAACTGTCTAGTCAAATCCACCGAAGGCTTTTCAGTCTTGTTGAATCTCTGGCACTGCAACAGTCTCAGCGATACCTGGGAAACAAATACACCGAATACAGGATTAATGTCTACCTATCTCTGGAGATCAGCACTCCCCACCTTTCTGCACAGGAATCTGCAGGTACATTCAAAGCTCGCTTTCCAAAAGGAGAGATAAGGGGGGGGGGGGAGGAGAGCAGGTTTCCAAATCTTTTCAAGCACAGAGACTGGCTTCACACAGAATGTTGTGTTCCATTGAGCCAGAACCGACCCCTTGCCCATCCTTCTCCCATGCAGCAACTGGTGGATTTGAACTACATGCCTTTGGGATTACAGTGTAGGCTCTTATCACTAGGCCACCACACACACTAACTCTTAAATTAAAGGGCCAGAAGTCACTAGAAACTCCCAGAATTCTAATAGGAATTTAAGCCACAGCAGGGTTTCTGAAAATTTCTTGAGAACTTCTCTTATGAGTTCTTTGACTTTATCTTCTCTTTCCCTCGCATTTCCACTTGCATTTCTCAATCCTGTCCTCTCTCCATGTTTCATGTCCCTTGCCCTGTAGTGGCACTTAGATAGAGCATTGATCTCAGCCCTGCGGGCGAATGAATCAAACAAGATCACTTTTGAACCAATGAAACATCAACCTCTATGCTTGCACTGGGATAGGTGCATTTGACAAGGTGCACCAGGGGCTCACAAGGCGCAGTGAGCTCAGTTTGAGGACCCTAGCTGTGTCATCTCCGATAAAAACTGCCAGGAAAAGGGAGTGAAGACTGGAAGGTGCGAGTAAGCTAGACAGTAGAAAGAAGCCTAACTAAGGGAACGAACCACGCAGGCGCATTGGCAGCCGCACGTCTCCAGCAGCCACCCTGGGACGCCTGCGCACTGACGCCAGGCAGGCGAGCACTAAGGCCTGATACTCCCAGCGCCTCAGCGCCCCGCCTACAAGCCCCGCCTCCTCCAGCTGCTAGCTTCCCAAACAACCTAGTGCGCCGCCGGCGCCGCCCGTCGATTGGCCCGTGGTCTTTTCCGTTTCCGCCCAGCCCTCCAGAGCCCACCAATCAGCTCGTGCAGCTGGGTAAGGTGCAAACCTCAGAGGCCGTGGCTTCTGGTCCTCTGCCTTCTCCCGCGGCAGCCTCCTCTGCTGCCTCCTCCTTCTCCACCTCCTCCGCCGGGCGGGCGTCTGCGGGGGCCCGAGTGGCAGGGGCGGCGGCGGCGGCGAAATGGAGCAGGGGGCCGGCGGCCGAGGCACCGCTCGCCATCAGGGGTCCGGGCCCCGGAGCAGCCCGCCGCCCCAGGAGCAGGAGCGGAAGCTGGAGCAGGAGAAGCTCTCCGGGGTGGTGAAGAACGTCCACCGGCGGCTCCGCAAGAAGTACCGGGAAGGTAAGGAGCGGGCGGCCGCGGATGGCAGGGGCGATCTCCGCACCCGCACAGCCCCAGCCCCGTGTCACTTCCCCTCTCCCCCAAAGGAAGAGGCCACCATTGACACCTCGAGGAGCTGCACGTCAGCCGCTGCCGCCCTCCCGGGGCCGGACACCCCCCTGGGCCCCGGCCTGCGGCCAGCACCTCCCCGCCCCCTTGGCTCCGAGGGCCCTGCAGAGTTCAGGGCCTGTGGGGGGGCCGCACCCCCGTCGGAGGGGCCCAGCCGGCTGTCACCCCTCACCCCCACGGGCAGACCACCTTCGCAGAGGAGGTGGGGGAGGCTTGGGATCAGGAACCTGGAAGGAGGGGCCCTCGGAGACATGCACCATCCATCTGCGAAGCAGGGCTGGAATCTGCCCCACCCCCCCGCCCCGCTGCAGCTCGAGCTTGGCCAGCCCCCCGCCCCCTTGCCCAGTACCCCATTACTCCGGGCTTAGCGGGGGCTTCCTCGCTCTGGCTCGCAGGGCTGCCAAGTCAGCAGGCCTTTTAGCTGACTGGACTTCACCTTGTTAAAATGGGGAGGAGCTGCATTCCTGCTCACCCTTCTCCCCCTGTCCCTCAGATGCTTCATTTTTAGTGTTCTAGGCTGGGAGACGGGGCAGGTTCTCCCAACACTAGAACGAGTCACTCCCAGGTATATATAACCTGTCACTCACAGACCACCTGGGATGTGGATGCCAGTGAGACTGGCCGTCAGGGACACACCCCCCCCCCCCCCCTCCCCATGGACGAGCAGAAGCAAAGAAAAGAGCTTAGTAACTTTTTTTTTGTTAAAGTAGCAGGTTTCAGGGCTATTGTACATGGGGTTGCTCTGAGTCAAAAGCGACTCGACAGCACATTAACAACAACTTTTGGCAGTCCCTTTTGACAGTACTTAGAGCTGGGGTTCATAGTTACCCTTGGATTTTAAAATCGTAGGATGTTTTTAAACAGAGATGACTGTTAAGACTTTGACATACTCAGCAGAAATATCTTGTATCAAAATGAGCGCTTTTCTAAGGGTTCTCACTTTAGCTTAAGTACACACTGTTGAAAAGTCAACAAGCTGTCTTCTAAAGTTAGCCTGATACTTTGTTAATACTTTAGGACTGCTCACAAGCCATATTGTAACAGTGAAAGAACAGAAACATGTAAAATGTTATATTACTTTTCATTTACACACAGACCTCAGTTCCTCTAGCTGCTTAAAACTAAGTGTCTTTTGTTTCTTTTTCTGCAAATGATGTATTTCTTTGTGCACACTTTAAAAGTTTGCTTTCCTCGGCAACTTAAGTCTCACTTTTAATAGAGGCTACTTAAATGGTCAACACCAAAGATGACCTATAGTTATTATTTAATAGGTAGCAATAGAAAGAAACTTAATGAGCATCATTTAGATGTTGAAATTTGTTTTTTAAAAGGATGATTTAAACCCCAACCCACAGCTTAATAAAATGAGTAGTTACCATAGCAACCGTTGCATCATTCTTGATCTTCAGAGAATGCACTTACATAATGACATTTATTGTAGATTTTTATGTTGTTTGGAGAAATGAAAAATAAATGAACACACTTTCCCTGTAATTTAACTGGCTATTTTGTGCAAACTTAAGGTAATTTTTTTTTTAAAGAAAGAAGGGAGTGGGGGGAAAGACTAGCATATGATTCAATTTCCATTTTACTTTTTATAATTGTTATTCACTTCGATCCACTTAAATTAGCACAATACTAATATATTCTCTCCTGAAGTCCTGTTTATGCTTGCTTACCTCCCACATGTCTTTAACCGCAGGAAAACTTCTCTATGATGAGAATTGGTTGGCAGTGTACATTGCTTTTTGAAAAAAAAACAGTTTTAAGCAACTAAAGGAACTGAGATCTGTGTGTAAATCAAAAATAACAATGTTTTACATATTCCCACTCTTTCACTGTTATAATTTGGCTTGTGACAGGTCCTAAAGTATTAAGAAAGTATCAGTTCAAAAGTAAATTAATGTGAAGATGAGCAGTCTGTAAACATTTGAATGAGACTCTTTTTTTAGGCATTTCATTCCCTGGATTCCACCAATAATCTGGACTTCTCTAGGCTTTGTCCCGTTGATACACAAAAGCCCCATCAGTGAGCTGAGTAAATAATCCGAATGAGTATGTCCTTTCTACCTTTATTTCTGACACATCGGTCGAATGTTAGTTGTGAAAAAGTAAACCCTGAGAATCTAATTTTGTTCATAATGTTGTGATTAGTGTGTGCTGTCAAGTCAGACCAACTCATAGCTGACCCTTCAGCACGTTTTCAGAGGTACTTATTGTTAGGTACCATCAAGTTGGAACCAACCTGTAGCTCACCCTCCGGTGAGTTTTCAGAGGCAGTAATCACGTTGGAGGAGACTGGCCATCTTTTACCTACAGAGCAGCTGGTGGATTCAAGCCATTGCCTTTGAGTTGGTAGCTTAGCTCCCTACCAATATGCCATCAGATTCCCCTATAGTTCATCACTTTATACATTCTTAGTGACTTAAAAGTTTCACTTTTCCCAATTCTGAGCCTGATACTGATGACTAATTGAAGGGAAAAGGAAAACCATGAAGTAGGTCAAGGATATGTGGTGTTTGTGTTGTCAAGTCAGAACCCACACAGAGCTGACCCTCCAAAAGTTTTTCAGAGGCTGTAAACTGCACAGAAGATTACCCATCTTTCTCCTGCACTATCTGGTGGGTTTGAACCACGTGTCTTGGGGGTTAATCACATAACTCCTTACTCCTAGGCACTAGAGCTTCCTTTGTATACAGAATATAAACTGATGTAAAATTAATACTCAGTTGTATACATTTGATAAGCTGAGTTGGAACTTTGTGCATTCCAGGCTTTCTTAGAGATTGATAGCAAGAATGGAAATAAGTCGATATGCAATGAAAAGTAATTCATTGCAGTTATAAGGAGTGAGAATTGGGTAATGAATAAAGTTTCTCCTTTCCTCTCTTATGTTTGGCAGTTAAATTGATATGAACAACAGATAAAAGAATCAAAAGGAAGTCCTTCTACTGTGATAATAAAATATTTCTCATTAACTCTTACCCTTTCTCAATCCATTATTCTAGCTAATATTTATTGATAGTGATAAATGGGAGAGGATCATGGATTGTTTTATGAAGACAATCAGAAAATTCTTTTTTACCACCTTTCCTCTCTATTTTATTGCCTGTGGCACTGCTTAGAGGCTTGTGCTAATTTGTATAAGGGTAAAGTGAGCACTGGTGATAAAGTTCATTGTTCTGTGCAGCAGTGTTGTAGTTGCCAATTATTACCAAGAGGTAAGGAAATGCTTGGTAAAGGTGATGGACAACAGTGTTTCCTTTCAATCATTTATACTTAAGTGGTGATCCCTTATATTGATTTTGTAAAAATGCTCACATATATAAGGGTGTGATGATGTTGCTGTACAATATTGTTCATATTTGCCTTCCTGAAATAAAAAGGTAATATAAAAGTTGTGGATAGCTTTTAATAAGAAACAGCTTGTTTTGCTTTCCAAACTTCTTTGTTTACTAAGTTCTGCCTAATAAGTATACATATCCAGTTTGGAACTAAAATAGTCATATATATTTTCAATTGACTTTGAATTATTTTCTCATAATTCTATTTATAAAGTTACTTTTATGCTTCATATTTCTTTTTCTAAACTTTAATGTATTCATCCAGAAATGCCAAGAAAAGAGAAAAAAAAAATGACAGATTTTGGCAATAAAACTACAATCTCCATTGCATTTAGTTGTTGTTTTTTGGTGTTTTTCTTTAATGTATACTGTTGTTAGTCCCTAAATTACTGGTAATACAATGGTTAATTGTTGATTTGTTCTATAATTTTATGGGCATCTCACTTTAACTATTGACATTGAGCTTCTCCACCGTCACTTTTCACAGATTGGTAGTCAGTGTGCTTCTCATGTGTTCATAATTTATGTGTCTTATAAAAGGTATTTATAATGAATAAGTCATTGATTGTACAAAATGAAAATTTCTGACTATCAGTTTGCTTATACATGTTAAAATTGAAGCTGAAGAAAATGAAAAGTCTGCAAGAGCCAGAATGTAGGCTTGAACTTTCCCACCTAAATTTAAAAAACTGTCTCAAGTATAGATTTTGTATTGAACACTAGTGACTAGATTTTATATTGAACAAAAAGGTACACAACAACAACAGTGGCTAAAGATGAGACAAATTATGACATGACATCAAGAAAGCAAAAGGTCATTTAAAGGAAAGGGAGGAAAAAAGACCAATATTGATGTCAGAAGAGACTCTGAAATTTGCTTTTCAACATAGAGAAATTAAACAAAGGGTAGAAATGATGAAATAAAGGAGCCAAACAGATTTCAAAGGGCAGCATGAAAAGACAAAGCAAAGTTTAAAATCAAGAAAGGTGTGCATCAGGGTTGTATCTTTCCCCCATACCTATTCCATATGTTTTTTGAGCAAATAATCTGAGAACCAGGACTATATGAAGAAGACTGTGGCATTCAGATTGGAGGAGGACTCATCAACAACCTGCCTTATGCAGATGATGCTACCTTGCCTACAGCTAGTCAAGATAACTTGAAGCACTTACTGAAGAATAAAGGACTAAAGCTTTCAATATGGGTTATACCTTGTAACAAAAACAAACCCTCCCAGTTGGACCAATAGGCAACATCATGGTAGAGAATAGTTGTCAAGGATTTCATTTTACTGTGTTTGTAATCAACACTCATGGTAAGCTGGAGTTAAGAAGTCGAAAGACATATTTCATTGGGAAAATCTGCTGTGAAGGCCATTTTGAACATGCTAAAGAACAAGTGTATCACTTTAAAGACAAGACAAGGTGTTCCTGATCTAAGCCGTGATACTTTTATTTCTTCACATTGCTGCTGTTGTGTGCTACCTGGTAGGAAGTGACTCATGGCTGAACCTCCCGTGGGTTTGCAGAGGCAGTAAATTTTACAGG